AAGCAACCACTGTCGGAATCTGCTAGTGACTAGAGTAGCCATGTCTGAGGGGCTCTGTCACAGACAGAGGTTTGTGGACTTGAACAAACTCTGAGGGGATACGATTTTACGCACAAGCAGCTCATCATCCCATCACATGTATGTTAGGAGAAATTTGTACTAAAATGCTGATTGGAAATTTGCAAACTCATGCACAAAAGTGAAGAACTTGAAAATGGAAAAATAAGAAGCAGCGAGTAGCCAGAATGGACATATCCATCAATTTCTCATCCATCAGTTTCTCATCCATCCTTCCTTGGCTCATATAAACAAAAGAAAATGCACACTGCTACTTGTTCATTTCCTAAAGCATTTTTAGGCATGCCTATCAAATGAGATCTCTATGCTTGGTACTAGAGATGTCAGTCATAGTGGGAAGTGCAAATGCTTATTTCTTCCTCTATACTTTTTGAAATCATGCCTCTGGATTAAAAACATCACATCAAAACTAGTAGCTTGTCCTGATAAAATCTAAGCAAATTCATCCTGCATCTCTCCAAGAGAAGAGGAAGCTACCTAGCCAGAAGATGATAGAAAGTAGAGGATATGAACCTGCCCAAATATACAACATTACGTTTCAAAATCACAACCTCCCACTCTATCACTGCATGCTGAACAGCCTTGCATATGTTTTGCTATAGCGGAATGGGCAATGTAAAAATCAAAAAGAACATTAGAGTGCATTTGCTGGACTGAACCATCTAGTTCAGCATTCTATATGCAACAATGGCCAGACATATACCCAAGTATGAAGGCAACAGCTCATTCACTGTCTGTTCCCAGCGTGATCATGGCTAATAGCTATCTTCCATGAACCCATTTGATCCCTTTGAAAATAATATTTACTCCTTCATTAGGGTCCTTGAAGTTTGCATTATGACCTAATGAAGCATCTTGGTTGGCTTTCCTGCTTGCATGTTAATGGACAAACCAGCTACTTATCTGTGATTTAGTAACCAAATAAGGCCGCAATCCTAACCCTGTTTACCTGGAAGAAAGCCCCTTTCAATTCAGTACAACTTAAATCTGAGTAGACCTCCAACCCACAGATCTGATTAGGCCCATCAGGCACCCCCATTTGGCCCATAAGGCTGTTTCGGCCAAGCCACAAGCACATGCCCTCCACCTGATGCCATATATGATGTCAGGTGTGGGGCAGGTAAACATATGGTTGTGCCAAAAAGGGAGCTGCAGGCACTGCCTATCGGCTGGTTGGCAACACTTGCAAAACCCCGTGTTGTATGTGGCACTTGGAAGCCCCAATAATCAGTTGATTGCTGGGGCTTCAAAGCTCTTCCTCTCTACAAGCACCAATTGCCAGGTGACTGTTGGGGCCTCAAAGTGCCCTGCACAGCTCTCTGCAGAATCAGCTGCTTGTCAGTGCTCACAGAAAGCTATGTCTGATACTACCCCACGTGAAAGTCTCTTGGCTTATGATATCTTCAGCAATGTTCATGTGTCAGCAAATTTCAAATGTCATATTTCAGAAAATCTGCAGTAATAAAGTCCCATGTGAGGACTAAGCATGTGAATTGGGTTGAAGACGAAGAGGGAAATAAACTCTTATACGGACAATGGTACATAGCCTACAGATTTCCAGAGGTCTGTAGAAGAGGCAATGCAGAAGATTAAGGTGCCTCAAATCTACAGCAGCCCACAGTATACAGAATGCATACTGCCTTTTCTAAAAGATGAACACACCTGCCATTTAGCTTTTCTTTTACCCTTGTGTGAGCAAATACAAACTTCACACTTTTTACGAAGTGTTAGCAACACTATGTGGGATCTTGAAACAATCATAAGCATGCTGCCACAGAAACTGAAGACAATATAATAAGTTACAGTAGATGGTGCTAGACAGGTGCAAAAGATTCAAGACAGTCATTTGAGGATACCTGCAAGATTTGCCCTTAAGCTAAGCGGTTTAGAAAATGTGCAATTTAGATTTATCTGTTCAGGAGGGAGATTCAGATAAAACAGTTGAGCTGGTGAGATGATTAAAGACAAACCCCTATATTTAGATAATGCTCAGATTATTACCTTATCTGACACAATGAAGGGTACAAGCCCCAACCCCACAAAGCTCAACGCTGTAGGTGTAAGTATAGGTGAAAATGACATGCATAAAAGATGCTGATTCAAGATTCAAGTCAATCCTCCATTGTGGTTCCTCTGTTTAGCATTGGGAGGTGAGGGACAATAAATTGTCCCGTTTATTGACATGTATCAAGCTATTCCTATTTTCAAAACACAGTAGCTTGAATAATTCCAATAAGGAAAAAGCCCCACATCAGTGTAAAATTTCTTTGGCTTGTCAGTTTAATGTGGATTTATAAAGTATTTTAGAATGCATGCTAGAGACTGGAAAGAGCTTAAAGGCTCTTCTGGAGTCACAGGTATTGCATTTTAATGTATACATCAGAATTTACTATATCATCTTTCAGTAATTTGCATCATCATGCCAGGAGTATGGATCTCTGTATATTAAAGAGAGACATGAAAATACCCAGGTTTATTGAGGATTATTTTGTTATGACAATAAAGTCTCTTATCACCTTAAAAGTACATCTTTTCTCTGGGTTAAAACATGTCTTCTGTTACAAATCCAGATGAGCATGTGTCATAATGGCAAGATTAACTGAATGCTGCATCTAATGAACCTTACTGTTTACATTCGGCAGCATCCAGCAAAGGCACATACTGCAGGGACACTGTAGGAAATGCTCTTTAAACCTTCAAAAGTTGATAATTGTTTTGAAAGAACCAATCCAGGTGCCGACCTGAAGAAGGTGTCATCAGATGACCCATAGTCTGCCTCTCGAAAAAATGTAAAGGCTAAAGCCCTCAAATGGACTTTTTTGTGTGGCCACTTTGAAACAAACTATGTTCTGCAGGTGGACAGTTGCTCCACTACAATGAAATATGATGACAAAGCGAAGTCTGAAGGTTCCAAATGATATTTATTTCCATTTATTGGCAAACCTGGGGCTGGTTTATTGATTTAGCATCTCTACAACTGACCCTTCTTCAAATGATTCCAGGGCAAGAACTTTAAAACAACCATTAATAATTTTTCTAAAGGCTAAGTAACAGGAATGGGGAACCCAGGTGTCGCTGGACTACAACTCCCATCATCCTGATCCTGAGCTGCTGGGTGAACAAATAAAGCAAGTTATTCCAATCAGCTTTAAACCTCATCCCGCAGAAAGCCTGGACAAAGAGGCAGCATTCCGTTTCAGCTTTACCTTGCTTTTTGTCTGGTGTGGTGTAGCTGTGCATTGTGCATGAAAATCTGCTATTTCTGGTGCTCCCATATTAACAGAATGTTATGTTTTAAGGTGTTGCAAGTGCAGTAGGTCTTTATCTAAAGAGATGTGAGTCTGCTTGGTTTCCTTTAATCTTTTAAGCATTGTGGAATTGCATATCACAATCTCAACTGTACTTAAACAAGCAAGAACAGCATGTAGAGACTATTGAGCTTCATGTATCAAATTCTCAGGGTTATACAATCCTGCAAAGTGTAACCAAGCAAAAAACACAACACCAATAAGCCAGGCCAAGAGAAGGGACAAAGAGTTGCTCTACCATATGTTTGCATGATTTCTATGAAGTACTAAGGCAGAGAGAGAAATTTGCTTCTGTTCAACTCAATACACTTTAGAATGTGGCAATACCGCATCCACAAAGATGCCTACAGA